TACAAGTAAGAAAATTAAGTATGCAGAAATTAAATGATGTAGCATTAAAATCCTTTCAAATTCTCCAACGATTTATATTGCAACTAACTTACCACGAATGTGATCACATTGTAAGAAATATCTATATTACTGTAATGTTATATTTTTTATGAATACTATCGAGAATCTAAAGCTCCTGTAGCTAATTTCACGGATGTGTAAGAAAGTTTAATTTGTTATGTATATATATTTTGCAGGAGAGTACAGCTGCTTGAAAGCCGAGTTCTATCTTCATAGGTCAATCGGCTATCATTTAGTTCAATCATATCTTCCCACAGTCCTGATTGTTGTGATATCCTGGGTATCGTTTTGGCTAAATGTCGAGGCCATACCGGCCAGAATCACACTGGGAGTAACAACACTGTTAACCATCTCCTCTAAAGGTTCTGGGATCCAGAATAACTTGCCACCTGTCTCTTATGTCAAGGCTATGGACGTTTGGATGGGCGCATGTACCACTTTTGTTTTTGCTGCTCTTTTGGAGTTCATCATTGTCAACTATCTTTGGAGAAAACGTGCAAAACCTGTTCCTGTCGTTGCTTCAGATGCAAGTCAGATATCACTGAAGCTGGTAAACATACTTGAAATCTTTTGCGAGTCATTGAATCTATTTATTACGCGTTAAAATTTTATACGAAGTTTTATAATACCTGAATGCCTTTTCAATATCCTTTAAAGAAACTCACCTATGAAATTTGAAACAGCGGGAACAGTGCGTTGAATAAAAATTAAATTTTTTAGTTCCAGTTTTATCTTATTACCATAACCTAAGTAATGTAGGAAAATTATTTAAACTTAAACAGCAACCTAATATTTTTAATTTTTATTTACACTGTTCAAGATTTATTATGTAAAATGAGTTTGTATTTCTACAGAAACAATCTCTCTTTGAATTTTTTTAATATAAAGTGATTATTTCGGTTTTAATAGTCTGAATTTTCTAGATGTTATTATTTATACTGAAACAATCTCTCTTTGAATTTTTTTAATATAAAGTGATTATTTCGGTTTTAATAGTCTGAATTTTCTAAATGTTATTATTTATACAGAAATAATTCAAAAGATGGTTTTCGAAAAAGTTTACGTAATAATGATTCCCTAGTAAAATTACTTTAGATAACGTAGTTTATCTCTTGCAAACATTTTACGAAGCACGCCAAACATTATATTCCTTGTGACCTAGTATTATGCTTAGTGTTTAATTAGTGTAATTCATGATAGCTAAAATAAAAAAAAAAAACAGAATTTCGAAAAACGTAAAGTTTCAGTTCAGTTCATTCTCGTATAGTCCTTTGGCAACATGTAGTATATCATATTTTTTATTTCTCTTTAAAAGATTTCTAATTCTAAAGAATGGAATGGAAGCATGAAGGTAAGAAAGAGCAATTATTATTCTTAATCGGAATCTAAAATAACTGTTTAAATGTCTTTTTGCTTTAATCTTAATAGTAATGTCAAAAGACATAGAAAAATAATTTTATGCCATTTTTTACGCGTACATTTTATTCTAGTTTTATTTTGTTACAGCATTGGTTAACTTATATGTTTATTAACTTTTTTTCTGAAATTATAAAAAATCATGTTTATGCCAAACAGTAATTTTACATATCTTCTTATAGCTCACTAGCCTCTACTAAAATGTCAGTGATATAGTTTTATATAGACTAATATGCCACATCAGGGTTCGTTTTAATACTGTGATTGTAAACGATCGACTTATATAAATATATTGTAACAGATCACTGAGTCATCACGAAGTTTTGCACGAAAAATGTAATCATTAAGTCTTGTTCTAGAAAAATATGTTGTCACAGGAAAAGTTTTCATTTCGCTTAATAAATCTGTATATATCTATATATAATTCACAGTTTTTTAGTTTGTCTAAAGTGTAACATGTGCTAGGTAGATTAATTGTTAGGAACCTTAATTAACCAGGGAAGAAGTACAGGGTATTTTAATATAAGAAAATCTATATTTCGTCGAGGATATTTAATTAAATTTTTATACTAGTGATAGCTGGAACATAGATGAGTTTATTGGCATGAATACAATATTCATGTAAACTAGTGATCATACTGTAGTATATTTATTTGAACAGCTTCTGCTCTCAGCAATATTCACTAATCAGTCGTTGCTTTGGTTAAATAGTATCTAGTTTCTATTTTTAAGATTCAAGTTTTAATACTTATTCTTCTCGTTGAGCTTTTAGTTTCGGTGATAAATTGGGACTGTTATTTATAATGCTATTAAAATTTGAATAATTCTTGATAATATATGCAGCATTATGGAATGTGCTATTTCTAAACCTCAAACATCTTCAAGCACTACCACTTCAAACAGCTCGTTATTTTTTTTTCTTTTTGAACGTTTCTGTTTTACTGTTTCACGTAAAACTTAATTTAAGTTGGATGCAATCCTTTTTTTATATTTTACGATATCCTTGTTACGGCAATATATGATTAAATTTATGCTACAAATTGACGTAGAATTCTGTCGATAATGTCTAGTCGTGAATGGGTTATGGAAAAAAAAATTCTTGAAAATTAACAAATTAGTTTTCTTGCTAACATTTGTAGTAGAAAGTTAAGGAGAATTTTTTTCGTACCAATAATGATTATTAAAAGAACGTAATTAAGCTCTTTCAAATTAGAAAATCGTAAGCCGATTTCAAGTTAAGAACTTTTTTAATTTCTCGTAATATTACTGTGGTGTTAGCAATGGATTCGTTTGTAATCTGGAAAGTTAATTTTGATAACATTTTGAAAGCAACATGGTTAAAGGCTCTAAACTTAGTTTAACTTATAATACTTTTTTAATCTTTAAACATTATAAAAACAGTTTTCAAAGTGAAAGCTTGATACATTGTATTTTTGTTTCCTTACACAACATCAAGAAGTTTTGAAAATTTCTCGAGAGGGAAACTGGTTTTTAAGACTTTAATTTAACATTAAATTCATAAAAGAATGTTAAAAAGAGGATTTCTGTAGACGTAGAAAATGTATACGTTTCTCATGTTTAACAAGCATGAAATACAACGTCCAATTTATATTGGTAGAAGTAAACAAATTCTTACGACTGTTCAATTTTTTCCTGTTTAGTAGAAGAGTTATTTAATAGGCTTTGTAAAAAAAATCGATTTTCAAAACGTTTTTATAAATACAACTTGTTAAACATCTTGTAAAATCAAACGAATGATTGGTTTATCAGTTCTATTTCTTTCTTACGGTTTCAGTAAAACCACAC